TTCAGCTTGTAAATTTTTGTGTTGAAGTCTTCGAAAAATGAAATAACGTTATTCCATTCCTCACAATCTGCCTCGACCCTTCTTCTGGACTAGGCATGTTTGCAGAATGCAAGCTTTTGTCATTTAAAAAAAAAAAGTACTGTTTTTGAAAAAGAACTAATTTTAGTTCCTGAAACCTCCTTGAAAGTAAAGATGAATCACAAGGCTTGATGATCACAAATTGTTATCCTTGAGTGAAGGCATTGGTTGAAACTACTTTCCATGCAAGATGTACCTTCCGTGTGCAGGAAATCAGTGAGGATGCTTCATCTGTGGAACACAAGTGGTTGGACAATACTTTACCTTATATTGAAGAGCGGCGTACCCCAGACATTGAAAATATGGATCTGGAGCAGTATCAGCAGTCACTGGCACAGTATGTACTTGGCACAGACTATGATTTCATTCTGCAGTTTCATGTGACTTCAGAATCATGTGCAGTTTATTTTGTACAAACATGTTATCTCTGATCCCTAATGCCATTTTTGGTGACTCCCAAAGATCACATCTGGGTCTCCTTTTGTTTAAGGAATAAATGTAAATTAAAATTTGTTGACGATCTGAAATTAAAAATTCCACATCTCTAAAAGTTACTCTTCGTGAATGACTTAGAGATTTTTGTAAGTATTAAATCTCATACAGGTAGAGTTCTCTTGCAGAATGCTTTGGCTAAATGGTATTCAAACTTTGATATCCATCTTAATACCAGCAAATGTAAAATGATTTTCACTAGATCTAGAGCATTTGATGATTTTCAAAATATTTTAAATTTCATGGTATTGATTACTGTTACTTCTATGAGAGATCTTGATGTGATGTTTGATTCGAAAATGATTTTTGTTGAGCATATTTGGTGTACTATTATCAAATTACACTGCAACAAACAACAAATCTTGGGAGTTGTGAAACGTACCTCCCACCTGTTGAAGTCCAAAGTAGTTTTGAAGTCACTTTATCTAATGCTTGTGAGATCAGTACTGATGATCTCATTGGTATGGTGTCCTTTCTTTGTGATAAACGTATCTCACCTGGAGTCTACCCAACACAAGTTTTTTAGAATAGTTGCTCAATATTTGGGACTTCCTGATCCTTTTATCAATCTTCAGTATTCTAACATGACATTGAAGTTAGAATTACCATCACTAAAATCTCTTAAGGACAATATCTGATCTTAATACCCTGTATAAAATTATTGTTGGTGCCATCGATTTCCCACCGTTACTCAAGCAAATACATTTTTAAATACATGGATTTAACTCCTAGAGATAACAGTATCTTTGATGTTAAATTCTACAAATTTTAATACACTGCAAGCAAACCCTTGTCCAGAATGTGTAATTTGGCCAACAAGGCTAATAATGTACTCATTTGTTATTTTAACTTGGGTTTTTTAAAGAATGCTAGAGATGTATTATTTTAATTTAAATAACCTTTACCAAGATTTATTTTGTAATTATCATTCATTGTAATTTTGATATATAATTAATTAAGTTACTACTTGTACTTATGTCTTTTAGTATAAATTCATTGACAAATTGTTCTTATATTTTAAATAAATAAATTACTCTTATCTGTATGCTAAAAAGCCTGATGCTAAAAAGGCCAAATTTAACACATTGTCACGTTCATTATTGTCATATTGATTATTTTTTTGAATTGTTTTCTGAATCATGAAAAAAATTTTGCAACATCTTTTCCAGAATGAATTCAAGTCTGCATGAAATTCAAGCAGACATTCAACGACTGGCATCACAACAACATCAAATTCAAGGCTTGCATTCACAACCAATACCTCAGGCTTCAGTGGGTTATACACAGCCCTCGCCACCTCCACCACCGCCACCTGTGCAGCAGACTTTCCAACCTCAGCCACAACCTCAGTTTTACCTCCATGAACAACAGGCTCACCGGCGCACATGGGCACAACCTGAGGTGCCAGCAGGACCCTTCGCAGCCCAGGATGGGCGAACACTTTGGGGGTCTGACAGGTTTGGAAAAGTTACATTTATTTTCATGCGACCATGTTATATTGTCTGTTGATCAGTCATGTGAGGAATTTTTTTGACGGTGATGCCAAACCAAATTGGGGGGCATGGTTAGTAAAATGCTTATTCAAATTTCCTTAACAAATGTTGGCATGTTGAATGTTTGCGTAGTGTCAATGTTGCTAGTAGGCAAGAAATGTGCACTTAAAACATTCCTTTTTAAGAAGTATTATGTACATGCGCAAAATTTAGCCTATTCCAAGTTTGAATAAAAGTGTGATGAAAGGACAGAACACAGGTTTTTTTCCATTTGTATCCATTTAATGTCTTAATTCACATGCATACACGTTCTTTATAGTGATGATTTTGGAATAATGTAAATCACTTCTGAAAACTGATCCTAACATCCAACTACACAAACTGAATTGACACCTACAGCTATTAGCATACCTAGAAATGTTATTAGTGTTATTACTGCAGAGAGCAGAAGTTAAAAATCGAGGCTGAGCGTAGTAGAACAGAGATTTCTAATTTGAACGAGGCAGTAATAACACTAACATTTTGTGATGTGGTCAGCATTTTATCAACTATATTGATTTTATCAAAAATTTAAGACTTTACTGTGATAGTAAACAAATGAATTCTGTTGTTGCGGCACATTACTATGGTATGGTGGGGTGTTGCTTGCGATATATCTATGTAAACAATATTCGTATACCGTGATGGATGGAAATAATTATTCTGAACCTAAAGATACTTAAAGATGTGACGTTTAATGAGGAAGTTAGGGCATCGACTTCCAGTGGCCACACCTTCAGATTGTAATTATGATTTCCAGAGAAGAGTTTCATTTGCTGGAATGCCAGGAAAATGAGATTGATTTACGTTATATACATTTTAATTGCACTATTAATATTTGAATTAACAAATCCCCCAAACTAATATTAAATACTTTTATTCTCAATTGTTTGAATCTGATTTGTACAAAATGTTGCTAAGGAACTTCAATTTCTTTATGTATAAGTCGGTACAAGTGCGGTTAACAAACCTGTAGGGTTGCATGTTTACAGGGATTGCAGACACACATGACCGATAAAAGCATTAACAGTTTGTGCTCTAAGCCATATGGCTGAATTGAAATTGGAAGATTACGTTTTACAGAGCAATGCAGTCTTTGGTGATGCTCAACTGTTTTGTAGCCTAGATTTGATAATAATAAAAAAAAATAGAAAAACAAAAGAAGTAACAATTTTAAAAAAGGCCAAAAATTTGCAGAATTAAAATTTGTGTAATTAAAATGAATCATACTGAGGAATCTTGCTACCATGTTTCAATCGGCCCCATTTTCGTGCATAGTGAGTTTTCTTTTTTTTTTTTTTTTGTCTCAATTCCAATTTTGTTGAATTACTTGCTTACATGTTTAACAATCTTGCTTAGCATGTTTGAGGTTTGTGGGTAACAAGTTTGGCAATTCACACATTTTCCAGTTTAGCAGCATTACCTTCAATGTGAACTTTAGTGTACTTACGGGTAGCAGAAATTATAGAGGGTATGTTCAGAGAGTATCCAAGATATTTTTAATTTCTTTAATTATGGATCCATAGCCAGACAACATATTCTTCTGCCATGTTCTTCCTTGTTATATAGCTTTACTAAAATTTGATAGACTGAAAACACAGTTGTTTTTCTTCTATAAATGGGCATTACTTTTTGTGTTTGTGAATTAATTGCATGTAATTTTGTGTTCTATTCAGTATATTATTTACAATTACATTTGTCTCTCTCCCTCTCCCTCCCTCCTTCTCCCCCTCTCCCTCCCTCCCTCTCCCTCCC